CCCCCAAAACCCCAAAACCCCAAAACCCCAATTGGAAATCTGGCTATTGAGATCTGAACAAGTGGGATTTTAGGGATTTTAGAGATAAGTTTTTTGGAATATTTAGAAGTACAGGTGTAAATACCTTCGTAACTGAGATTCAGGCAACATTTAGGAAGAATATTTATTACAATTCTGAGTTCCTGGGCAGCCTCTTCTTTGAAAATTGGCTACTGCTGCTTATCTCGCCTGAGTGTAATTTGATCAATGATTTTCGAATGGATATTGATCCTACAATAACTGAAAAGCTTACTTTGAGACCTATTCTTTTGAATGTTTTTGTTTCTGGAAAGGCTCCTTGGAGGGATCTTGGGTCTGAAATAAGGCATATAAACTCACGTATTTGTGTCCAAAAATTGGCCATAATCGCTCTTACTCTTGTGTGTTGAGCTCATGTTATCAAATTTGTTCGTAACCTTGACTGTTGGTTGCTGTTCTTCATAAACCACATTGAAATTTGTATCAGAGCCTATAGAGTAATTAACCCATACTTACTTGAGTCGAACTCATCAACTCGAGAGATGGACTCTTCAAACTGTGAATTAACCATGCTCTTTTCTTTCATCGTGTGAGGAGTTAACAAGATGTTATTTCCTATAATTATTCTCATTTAGCATTTCGACATCCTTGATCAATTCAAGTCTGTAGGTGTATTCAGTAGTAGGGAGGCCTCCTTCGTTACCTCTCTTAAGCTTGTTTCACAGGAAGAGCTCCTCCTCGATGAAGAACTTGATGTCATCTTCATCTCTGCTCTGTATTGCTAATCTCTTTTGTACTAGTTTATTTAGTAAGGATCAGAGTGTCCTCTTCGAATCGTTTAGATTTCTGGTAATCTACGAAATTATCTTGGTTCATTCTCCGAATCCGGGCCTTTTGAAATATAGTGCTAACATTCAGCTGCTTGGAAGGAAGCCTTAATAAGTTTTTAATCACACCCTGTTGTTCACCTTTCTTGATCTTGTTAAGGCCCTCAACTGTGAATTTATACTCATTAGGAGTTTCATCTACCTGAACAGACATGTAGATGTTCTCTCTGTCTTGGGAAAACATGTGACTTCCCTTAAGCCTTACTATATAATGGTGAATGTTCATAGCTTCTTCAAGAGTTTTAGTATAGTTGAGGGAGATTATCCCTGGAGTCTGCTCCTGATTACTTCAGGTAAAATACAACCGGCTGATTTCATCGTGGAAGTCAATGTCCTCTCAGTTTTTCACTAAAGGATAATACTCTAACTTGAAGTGCCCAGTCCTATAAGATTTGGTTTAAAACATTACTTGTTATTCACAAGTCTTTTCTGAATGTGACTTTTGTTGAGCTTCTCGTATTCAGTCTTGAGATAATCAGAATGAACCTCTGGCTTTATAACCCACTCTGTCTCATCAAGAGTGGTGCTGAGCTCAACGCAGATTTTGCTGCTCATGAGTCGAGCTTGGATCATACATTGAATACCATTGATTTCCTTCAGCTCTGTATGGATGCTGTTTACAAATCCAATATCGTTCTTTTGAATCTTTTGCGTGATGTTTAATTCCTTATAGCCCTTTCTGCACTTTCTGGTCAGTCTAGGCTGAGCGGCTCCCTTGCTAATATGATTTTTGAGGGTGAGGTCTTGAACCCTATTAGACAGCCCCTGTAGCTCATTGGTGTAATCAAACATCTTTTTCCGCAAATTGAAGTTCATCAGGGTCCTCGGCTTCAGCTTGTAGGAATAATAAGTAAATTTTACACCTAATAAGCAAGCTTCCTTCCTGACTTGAGGGATGTTCTTATTTAACATCAAACAACATTTTGGAAATGAGATCAGAGATTTCAGAGTTAATTTGGTTCTCATCACAGAACTGGAGCTCCATTTGAGCATGCTTACGCATCACATTTAGCTGTGAAACATTAGCTTGACCTATCTTCTTCTTAAGGTTCTCCCTAATATTGTCAGATCTTGTAGGAAAGTAACTTACATTTCATTCTTAATTTTCCTGATCCACCGTATATTCGCTGCTAGAAGTGTGCTTATGTCACCATTACAGCCATAGAGGCTAAGAGCAGACAACTGGTCTCCAACAGGGCATATTTTTCATAAAAATTAACCAACTACAAGAACCCAAACTTATTTTTTTTTGACTACAATAGATACTAATCTCTTCAAATTTCTTTAAAATTACCTGACTTGGATCTTTCCTTGGTCCTCGTATTTTTGTGATACAAGGGAGAGCTAACCTGCAAGAAGTTAGAAATCGGAGTCAAATTATGCTTAGGGCTCATTGGGTAATGTAATTGGGGACCTGATTTCAAACCACTAAAAATAACAGGTGTTAATTACAGAATAGTGCTTTCCCTTCTTTGGGATCTCCAGAGGTTGTTCAGGTACATAGTATCAGCTTGGCTTGATTGCTCGTCTATTTGTCAATACTTTACTCACTTTTAGACAGGTTAAAGGACTTTGTCTTCTCATCGTTCCTTCTTAAGGACGACTTACAGATGGAATTCCTCCTACTTTTAGACTTCTTGAAAGAGTCTCTGTTCAGCAGAGACGATTTTGTAATGGAACTCCTCTTTTTAGAGTTAGACTGTGGAGGGGAAGACTCTAGTGGAGAGACTCCAAACCTAATAGTAGCCCCATCACGAAGAAATTTATCCTTATCTATGTTCGTGTTCTTTCTGATCAGAGGGATCTTCTCAGACATTCCCTTCTCAGAAGGATTCGTAGTGAATTTCCTTGAGATTTTTGCCTTGTTCTATAAATTATGGGGTATATAGGATGCCAGTACCTTATTTTGGAGAAGCTGTGCTTGGGATCAAGTTAATCTTGGGACAGTTCTCTTCAACTGTCTCAGAGAAAGCTTCTTCCTCCTCTAATATTTTTTTCCTACTCCTCTCAGCAGCTTTCTTAAGTTCACTCCTCTGCTTATTTTGAAGGTGGTTTAATGAGCTCTGGAAGTTTAAATTAAAAATTTAGTACCTATTCTCCTTGATCTTCGTTTATGATTAAGAAGCTCTATAGGAGGGATTTGCTTGTAATTCTTCTTGAAGAAAGCCACATTAGTTTTGGAGAGACTCGAATTAGCACCTTTAGACCTAAATAATGCTTTATGGGACTGTCTTGTAGACTTCTTTCGAGATTTCAGATTTTCAATTAATTTATCTACATCCTTGCTATTCTTAACCTCGATGTTCATCAAATGTAGTGAAGGCAACTGTACCTTCCTTCTTTCCTGGCTATCAGGAGTTGGAGCTAAAGAATTTGAACTAAAATTACACAAAATCGGAGGCATTTTTGGACAATTCTGATCATCAAAACTTTTCACTTGAGTAAGATGATTCTTATCCTTCAGTAGATCATTGCGAAAATTAGTTCGGCTGCAGTTCTTCATTGCCTTAGCTTTATTCTTTAAAGATAAAAGTCTCGTGCTTTTATTCCTTTTGACAAAATTATGAGCATTATCCTTCAACTTGGGCCTAGACTTTAAAGCAAGATCCCCAGTAGGATTGAAACCTGGAGCTCTGAAGTGATCCACTCTGCTACAGAATGGGTTACAAGAAGACTTACAGGTTTTCATGACTGAGCATTTTCTGAATGACCCCTTTCCATTTACGCATCTCCTTTTTATTTTAAATCCTATATAGTTAAGTCAGAACGTTAAAAAGACTACCTGGTTCTGTAATAGAAGAAGCTGTCGCTCTTGACCCTTTGGTGATAGTATATCTTGTGAGAAGTTTCTCTGAGGATTTGACAAGTTTTTTATTGAAGTTTCCATTCAAAATTTTATTCAATAATTCCATAAATCTAAGGGGTTTTGGGGTTTTGGGGTTTTGGGGTTTTGGGG